CTTAACGAGGGGTTTAAATGACATTCTCATAATGTACAGAAACCAGCAGCAGACTTCTCGAATTCAACTTTTACTATTGGAATAAAAAAATGAAACAGTTAATTCTAATGCTTCACTCACAACATGCAACATACCATGATAAGGTCCATAATAAATTGACCTACTACATCACAAATTGGAAAACATCTGCTTATGTGCATTACACATTCACAATTCAAAAACGTGCAGTTCAGGCATCAGCATACATTGGTTTTTATATACTGTTAATGTACCTAAATTAAGACATAAAAAAATAGAATGATGACTCTTCCACAATCAATAGTTTATTTCATGCACATAATATGTGTATTCACTTTGTGACTTAATTAGGCGTAATATTTTTTGATAAAGCTGCTGATGCCCCAAGGTTTCTTCAAAATATTTTTATTGTTTCAATAGATACCTGAATTTTCATTAATAGTTTTGTTGTTTCACGTATGTTGAAAACAAATAAATACTTTAATCTTGCTTTTTTGTAATCTTGATAGCTAATATGGTCCGAGTGCATATTTATTATCGCTTGGAGTGCACGAAAGGGAATCCCTATAATATTCAAAGAACATCGTGCGTTCCTAGGGAGGATAGGGATAGGAGGTAGGTATTGGAATTTTTTTTAACTTCTGGAGATTATATGTTGTTGGGAATACAGTATTTACAATTCTCAGATATATGAAAGAAGCGCCCTTGGTAGAACCTATACATTGGAACTGTTTCAATTGATTTAACATGAACTATAAGATCGGGTACTTCAATTGCTTTAGTAGTGGCAGTATACATTTGTAGGTAATATAAAAAGACTTTGGTAATCAAATATAGCATTTCTAAGTTCAACATACCAAATTCCACTCTTCAAAGCGGACTGAAGATTTGAAATGATCAATTTTGAATATGCATTTCGCCATAAAAAATGCCGATGTCAGACCACTGACATAAATTACTAACTAGACCATTAGTGCCATAGTGTTAAAGCATCAGAACTCATTCGTTACGAGATCTAACATGGTCCAATGGAGCATGCGCATTCAAAACTTGTCTTTTGTCAGTATTTCAGACTAAATATTCTTATAACTGATGGTAATTTCAAACTAAGACGCGATATTAAACGAGATTCTTCGATGTTGGTAGTACCTACTGATGATCATTCGTTGAGTATGTCTTTGATAAATAACACTGTGAGAGGAAATGGTCATTTGTGATGTAATTCCATCAAAATTTCTTTTTTAATGAGTGTATTTTAGCGTTTTTTAAAAGCATTCCAATAGTTTTATTATTAAATATGTTCGAAATCAATTAGGTAATTGATTTTTGTTGACTGTAATTTGGCTTTAGATTGAAAATATACTTATTAAGATTCAGTTCAATTATTCACGCAGGATTCACCTTTGTTGCCCACCTCGCGTAAAACTTGCATAAAGTAAAATTGATGTACTCATATGCTCAAAATAATACACTCAAAACTAAATATTTACTTTTAACCTAACCTATTCAAGACATGGACGTTTTTTAGAAGAAGGCAGGGGGGGTCAATTGGCCCCCTCCTGATTTTATACAAAAAATAGTTCCACAATGAATATTCCTGTATCAATGACACACATAACGAAACAGATCGGAAACAGATCAGAATAGATACTCAAAATTGAAAAATATCTATTATTTAAAAATGTTTGAAATGTCATATTAGGTATCCTGGAGAAGGAATCAATTTCCTGGAATGAAAAAATCTGACGCCTCCGATCATTCAAAATATCAACGAAATAAATCGCTATGAACATACTCACAGATTATTTTCCATCAAATATACGTAGACTGATGAGTAACTTATTAGCTGTTTTGAGTGATAGTTTTTTTATAGTATGAGATGAAAATATAGAAATGAATCAGGGGATCTCTGACTAATTTCGCAAAATTGAGGAATGAGTCAGTTTGCTTGATGAAAACCATTAATTATCACTACTCAACCAATAATTATGTATATTACTTCAATCTCATTGAGATATTTTTTAATTTATTTATATTCATTTGAAATTCCCCTATTTTCGTTCTTTTTGTGTTTTATATATAGAATATACAGGATGGTCCATTCGAAAATGAAACGTCAGCAGTTACATCGCAGAAAATATAATCACCTTCAAAGCATCTCAAGTAGGTTATTTTCTCATAATGTATATTCTGAATTTCACCGATAGGGTGGCTATATGTGATTTATATAAAATTATCTATGGGCTCCTGAGAAAATTGTATCAACCTTTGTAATATTCTCGATTGGATCACATTACAAACTACCAAATCCCAGGTTTTCCAAGATGGCCAATCTCTTCAAATAATCATCAGTTTTTCCATTCTCTTATTTTTTAACGTTATTCCCATCTATTGTACAGGGTCTTCAACAATGATTAATCACCACGTGACCATATTCGTATGCAACCAACAATACATTTGTGTCAGCATGTTAACTCAGCTAACATCATCATTTATGTCATATTTGCACCATGGATTTTTCATGGCTGTAGTTTCCAGTGTTTACGTTCTGTGGTTCACGTTTTTCGCAATGTGATTGGCCCGTTAACTCGTCAACTGTCATAGCAACTAAAAACTGAAAACAGGAAAAATGGATTGCGAATCTGTCTCTTCAATTTTGTGTTATCAACATTTATACCGCACAGCTGTAGCTCATTAGCACCCAGTAGTAGCGCTTTGTTGTCTTTTCTTCTGGGTTTGTTGATAGTTGATATGGTTCTTGATTTCATTTTATTGTTTTATTGCATTTGAATATCTCACTCACAATAATTACTTTGCGAAAAACAGTTTTTATCAAAACTACATTTCCAATTCACTGTTGTGATAAGGTAAGATCAATAATTAACCTCTTGTTTTTATTGTTCATGTCCTTATTTTCCTTTGAGGATTGAATATGTTTTATTGCTGGTGAAATGGATGCCTTCTTACTGATAGCACATTTCAGAAGTGGTACTCGTAATCCTGATGCAACGTGGACATATTATTCACTTCAATGCTGTCGGGAACAATTTCATGCTGCATTTCCAAATGCAAATATCTCATATGCTTTTGTTTTATTTTATTAGGAGCTGTTAATTTCCAGTTATTTTTTTACCAACTGTGCAGTGTTGGTTGCAAACACATTTTGATCACGTGATGATTGAACACATTGTTGAAGCCCCGGTAGAATATGCACACTTCTGGTTCTCACGAAAAGGGATATCCTGTAATGTTCAGAGAACATCGTGAGAACCAAGGCAAATAAGGTAGGAATTGGTATGACGAAATAATTGACAAGTCATGTCTTCAAAGCATAAAGTTTTGTGGAAACCCACTACAATGATGACAATGACAGGTAATCTGGACAGCTCGAAGCAAAAGGAACTGGCGTGTTGGAGGTCATGACAGCTGGCAATGTTTGGTATATTCATTCACAGAACCGAAATTTGTAGACGACAATCCATTATTGATATTTTGTTCCTCAAAAACCTCTAGTATGAGCACAGATTATAGGTGAGTTACATCATAAGTCCACTTCCTTTTTATAAAATATGCATGCACTCCATGTCATGTAATTGACAGATGACCTCCAACTACACTAGAACCGCTACCCGGGAACAATATCGGATGTTCACTTCATTAAGAAGGTGAAAAAAACATCCGTGAGTTATTCATTATTAAGAGTTTTAAAAGTTCAGCAACAGCAAAAGAAGGATAAACATCTAGGAAACTACTAGTTCCGTGAATGTACTACTACAAATTTGTGTTATGCATAGCAAACAAAATACCTACGTTATTGAATTTCTGAGGATTACAAAAAAAAAGACATGCATGATTCTGTTCAACTTAGGTAGGTATTGAATATTTTTACATAATTCATTGTAATCATGGAATAAGTTTTATTCAATCTGTAATTGAACCATTATTGCAATTTCCCAAATAAAATAAAATTACTTTGGATAATGGGGGTTTAAAGGTCACAATGTTCAAATAACTTTTGTTAACAATCTTGGAAAATATTGAAGCAGCAGTTTTGTTTTACTTTGTTAATCAATCTATCAAATTCCAATTATAAATGCTTATGTAGAATGGGAAAAAACTTGAACAAAAGAGAATACGAGTTGAAAACACTATGATAGTACATATTTAAACTTCAGATGTCAAATGGTTTCACCCTAAAAGTCAGGTGAGAAGTTGAATGTGAACAAAGCTGTATTAAAAAAAAATAGTTGAAGATTCATCCAGAGGGCCTGTTGATTATTGATCTAAAAAAATTGCCGCAAACTATAACACAAACAAAACTGATGGGTTTGAGAAGCACTAAAAGCTGGCGACGATATCCATCTTGTTGTATAACGAATTGATATCTGAAAAACTTCAGAAAGATAAATGCAATACCCATTCAAACAAGCTTCAAAATTGTCGAGTCAGCCGTGAAAACGAAGAAATCATTTTATTAGTGTCAGTATTGATCAAAATCTTTTTTAGAATGGAATAAAAATGTTAGTAAGTACTTACATATTATTATATTCTCTAGGAGAATCCATATTCCATTATTCGCATTGGATGACTTCATATAATATCTAATACTTTTTTGATGAAATAAAAGAAGCAAGTTTAAAAAAACGTTAAATTGAATTATCGATAGTTTTTCAAGGTTAACTTCGATTTTTGATAATTTTTGCAGTCAAAATGTTGAATGTAGTATCCATGAGATTAATAATTTAATAACTGCATCAAATATATTTTACCGAAACATCGGATCTTAGAAATCAACAGTCTCTGAGTTATGCCAATTGACCTCTGAGTTGTCAAATACGTATATAATATTCGAAAATACTTTGGAACATCGGAATTACTCCGAACTGATATGAACCAAAAGCATAAAACAACAACTAGGGAACAAGTATCTGGACTGAGTATTATTACTTATTAAATATTAACAAATCCTACAACCAACTTACTTATTCTTGTGCTCAATTTTCTGTTTTTCTACATCAGAGATGTCATCTGATGAGTAATCAACTTCAGGATTAAAGTCTGGATCCTCAGCAGGATCATCTAGGTCCTCTCGGAATGCATATTCATCAGATACTTTTTTTTTAGTCCTCTTTCTGATGTTGTACATAAGTTGTCTATTTTCGTTTGCAGAGTTATCTGATACATCATCATCATCAGATATTACAAATATTTCTTCACCATTTCCTTTTGATGACACCAATTGAAGTTCACCTGATTCATTTTGCTGATCAACATCCATGTTAACTGCTTCTGATACATAAATTTCAGCTGGTAAATACAATGGCAATTCAATTCCAATTAAGTCATTTTTCTGATGGCAATCCATATTATTTATTTTGGATGCATCATTTTCGGATTGAGCATGCACAGATGATGCCAATTCAAGTTCACTCAAGTCAATTGTCTGACTACAATCTATGATATCTTCTTGGGATATCTCATTGTCAGGTTGACTTTGAGGTGGAGACATAAGAGGTGAAATATTCGCATTTACAATCTGGACAGAACTCACAACTTTTTCTGTTACCTCCTGCTCAATACTTTCATTTTTTAGTATATCTCTTGGAGATTCCAACACATTAGGTATATTGATTCCAGGAATGTCATCAACTTTAGGTTGATTGTGAGGTATAGATACAAGTGACAAAATAATGGCATTTTCATTATCGACAGATTCAACAACTCTTTCAGTTTTCTCTTGCTCAGAAGTTCCCATTTTCGTTGAATTATTTGGAGATGTCAATACATTTGAGATATTTATTTCAGGAATTTTATACTCATTTTTTGAAGTTATCACTTGTACAGCCTCAATAAGATCTAGAGTTTTTCCTTGATTATTTCGTTGGTATTCTGAAATTTTTTGTTCATTTTCCATACATTGACAGACAAAATTATATGATTTTTTCAACAGTGATTTACAATTTTCACACAAAACAGGTTGTTTCGTTAAATGAAGGTCCTGAAATATAAGGAGAACATAAGTGAATTTTTTAATTTCTTTCATGCAATATCAGTAGAAAAATTGATATATTTTGTGGTAGATAGATCAAAGAGTACCCATAACAAAATGAAAAATAGTGTTAGTCATTAAATTTTCGAGGAATATTTTCTTACTATCTTTTGCTTTTTATGGAAGTGAATTCTTATATGTTCCAGGAACATGGTGAGTACCTAGAGGGATGAAAGAAAGGGGGAGAGGGTAGGTATATAATTGTTCAACTTTTGGAGGTTATAATTCTTCGGAATACTTTCTTTGGCAAAATATCCCAAAGCCATACTGTTCTATAGACAAACGAGCCCTGATGAAATGTTGTATACCTATTCTGTTTCTTTTATGTTTATTAGTTGTGAAATGCCAAGGACTACCTCTCAAGGACACATTATAAATGTAAGAATTAGAACCAAGAGATTGATCCAATCTCAATAAATTCTCAAGAAACCTAGGCCTCTTGACTCATGAATGTATGAAATACGTTATGGCCACAACTATACATTATAATGTAAATATATCTGAAATGTGAATTGATATCTTCTAATTTTAGTTGAGGAAAACATGGAAGCATTTGAAAAATAGTAAAAGAACAAACATGTTGTTTCTATAATGAAACTAGAAATTTTCTCAAATTCAATGGAATATCAACATCTGTGAATACTATTATAGCAAGTATTATAGTATTCTTTTTAGATCAATCTTTTCAGATTCAGAATCTTTATGTTGCCTGTGAAGTGCTAACAGTTCAAAGACCTTACATTTGTGGTAAGAAATAAAAAGTAGAGATGAAAATGATTACAATACATACTCACATCAAATGTTCCCCCCTCTATATTTCAGCTATTAGTACTGTGATTCTTACCAAATTCGGACCTGTATGAATGACCGTCAATATGATCAGTTTTTCAGAGATAAACATAATTTTGGAAGTGCCGTGCGGTTTTATTGAAATGTAAAGGGGTGAATCATTCATGAAATCATATTAGGATTTTTTTATTGAAAACTGACCTCATAATATTTTATCACATGATTTGAAACTCGTACATGTACATTAAACTGTAAGTGTATGTACCAAAGTAGTTAATACAATGACATATTGAAGACGAAGGTTGAGAATAGGGATTTAAAGAGATTTTTCATAAAAATTCGGTTTGTACAAAAAAATATATGATATTGAAAAACAATAACAATGTAAAAGTTTTTGTAACAGAATCGAATAAGGACCAGTTTTTTTCCTAACTTAGCAATCCGATAACTGATGGAATAATCAGCTTCTGGAACATTGACGTTTGGGAATGATTTGTACGTAAAATTTATTCTGACGTTTCTGCATTCATTTTTAATATCGCCATATTGTTAGCGAGGTTTCGACAGTCGCAAAGTAGTTCAGCTATTGTCTTTTCGAGAGCTGTACGGCGAAACTATCGTGCCGCGGTGTTACAAATTAGTTCTCATTTTATCAATTTCTTCTTCCTGTGCCTGGAAACACTTTGTTAGTTTATTCAGTTAGTTGCTCAGTTTGGCTCAGGAATCGGATGATTATGTGTATTGGTCTGCTGGGTGGATTAGGTAATCTGATTGAATTTATCTTAGGGAATCAAATACAGTATGAATACCTATGAAAATGTTTGTGCATATTTGGTAGTTCTGATAATCGGTCCTAAACTATTTTTCAAATTGCATATTCAAGATGAGTTTTGTAATTATGATCCGATTCTATTCAAAATTGGTATCTGAGGGGTTTCCGGGGTCGGAGTTTATAATTTTGTCGTCAAATTCAGGAAATTCAGGATGAAGGATCCAATATAGCAGACGAGTTTTGTGATTTAATGATCCGCGATTTTATTCAAAATTGGTATCTGAGGGTTTTCGGCGTCAGCGATTATGATTATTTCGTCAATATTGGGAAATTCAAGATAGCGGATCCAATATGGCAGATCAGATTCTATTCAAAATTGGCATCCAATATGGACTGTCAAATGTCAAATTTATATAATGACAACTGACAATGTAATTTAGGTTGGTAGTGTATGTTTCTCTTTCTATAATTTATTGTCTCTCTCTGATGTTAGGAGGCTGTGATTCATAGAAACAAAAGATGTATCAATTTAGTAACAAACTTAATATAATCTGTTCACGATTGTTATTGAAATATAAAAATATAAAATATTAAAAAACAAAGTTATTTCCAACATAAAATAGTGAAATACAAAGTTATTTCGAACAGGTTATGGGCCCAGGCATCAGAAATTGAAATAAATCAGTGGGCAGTAAAATCAAGTAAAAATCAAGAGTAAAATTATGGCTTCCAAAGAAGATTTTGAAGAAATCAACATTCTATTTGAGGCAAAGAATCTATTGGATATAGTAAATGGCAAAGAAGAAAAACCAAATGATGCAGAAAAACTTATTAAATGGAAAACAAGAGATGCTCAAGCCAAAAATTATATATTGAGAACAGTAGACAAAAGTGTTAAGACTCATCTTTTCACCTGTGAATGTGCAAAAAGTATGTACGAAATCCTCATCAAAATTTACAAGAGGAACACTAATCAGCAAAAATGTGCTCTCCTACAAGACTTTCATACCTTCAAGTTTGAGAAAAATAAAAATGTGACAAGTAATATTAGCAGCTTGATGACTATTACTCACAAACTAAAAAGCATGGATGAAGAAATCAAAGATATAATGTTGATAGCCAAAATAATGTCGGTGTTGCCTGAAGAATACAAACATTTTAGCAGTGCATGGGACTCTGTAGCAGATTCAGAAAAAACTCTTGAAAATCTTCAAGCCCGCCTTACTGTGGAAGAAGATAAATTGAAAGAAGGAAATGAAGATAGTGTGGCATTCAAGGTTCTCATGAATAATACCAAAAGTAATAATGTTGGAGGAAAATTCCAAGTTAAATGTTTCAACTGCAACAGAATAGGACATATGGCCAATAAATGCAGAATGATGAAGAAATGCAGAATTTGCAAGAAAACTAACCATCAAGAAAAAGACTGTTACTTCAGAGATGATAATCAAAAACCAAATCAAATGTTTAAGTGTAATATCTGCAAAAAGGATAATCATGAAGAAAAAGACTGCTTCAGAAATAGGAAGAAAAGTGAAAAAGTCAGTTTCATTGCAGAAGTGTTATCAATAACCAAAGAAAATATACCAGAAGATGCACTGTATACAAATAAGAACAATGAAGACATTTTCATTGTTGATAGTGGATGTACAAATCATATGGTGAGTGACCAGCTCATGCTCACAAATATAAAAAAGGAGACAAATACTGTAAGAAGTGCAAAGAAATGTGCTTGCATGAAAACAATTGCAGTTGGGGAATATCAATCACATAAAATCAATTTGAAAAATGTGTCTGTGGTACCAGAACTGTCTAAAAACTTGATGTCTGTTAATGCTATAGCAAAAAGTGGAGGAGAAGTATGTTTCTCAGAGCATGCAGTTAAAATATTTATGAATAATTCCCTGATACTGGAAGGATGGAAAAATGAAAATGGCCTGTATGAAGTGTGTCTCAGTAAATGTACAGAAGCTCTATTGACTCAGACTGACAAGACAATGGAGTGGCATAAAAAGTTAGGACATATTAGCTTTGATAACCTGAAGAAACTCTCAAAAATGTGTGATGATGTACCTGAACTCAAGAATATAAGAGAAGTATGTGAAATATGTATGACTTCTCGCCAAAGTAGACTTTCATTCCATGAAACAAGAGAAAGAGCAACAAGACCATTACAAATCATACATACAGATTTGTGTGGTCCTATAGATCCACCTACTCATGATGATAAACATTATTTTTTGACTGTTGTGGATGATTTCACTCATTTTACTTCAGTATATCTCCTGAAATACAAAAAGGAAGCAGAAAAACATTTGAAGGAGTATATCAACGGAGCAGAAACACATTTCAATCTCAAGATATCAAAAATAAGGTGTGATAATGGTGGTGAATTTAAAAACAATGATCTGAAGGAATGGACAAAAAGAAAAGGTATCATGATGAATTATACCATTCCTCATTCTCCACAACTAAATGGAACATGTGAAAGGATGCATCAGACAATCATGAACAAAGCAAGAGCAGTATTGTTTGACTCAAAGCTTGATAAAGTAATGTGGGGTGAAGCTGTATACATAGCAACATATCTGATAAACCGTAGTCCTACAATGACAACAAATGTCTTACCTGCTGAAATGTGGTATGGTAAGAAACCTAATATGTCAAGACTTAAAATTTTTGGAAGCATTGCCTATGCAAAAGTACTAGGATATCTAAAGAAATTGGATCAAAGAAGTAAAAAATATATTTTTGTGGAATATGCAGATAATGGTTATCGTCTGTGGGACCCACATACCAGAAAAATATCTATTCACAGAGATGTTGTATTTGCTGAAAAAACCAATGATGAAGTAATAGAACATGAAATTGTTAAAATGAATGAAGATAGCTATGAAGGAGAAGAAAATGGAATCCAAGAAATTGAGTATCAAGAAGATGAAGAAAGTGAAAATGAAGAAAGAAAGAAAGTTGAAAATAATCAATTTCAAGAAATACAGGAGGTTGAAAATGATGAAGTTCAAGAGAATCATAATGATGAGAATTTGTTTGGAAATGAAGATGAAAATCAAAATGAAAGTTACAGATTAAGAAACAGAAGAAGCATAAAGAAACCCACAAAATTCAATGACTATTCCATGGAATCAGAAGATGAAGAAAGTTTGTTAACATATGAAGAATGTATGAATGATGAAAATAAAGAAAAGTGGGTACAAGCAATAAAAGATGAAAAACAGTCACTTGATGAGAACAACACCTGGAATTTTGTTGATGAAGAACAAGCAAAAGGTAAAGAAATTATAACAAGCAGATGGATTTTCAGAGTCAAAGACGATGGAAGACATAATGCTATTAGCAATTGCAGCACAAAATGATTTTCGAATTCAGA